ATCATCAATGCATCAGATTTTTTCAAATATTAAGAGTTGCATTATCCCTTAACTGATTTTGCAAGAATAAAAGGAAACTTTCAAATAAAATTAATAGAACAATTGTTCTTTGAAAGAAGAGAAAGAGAGAAAGAGAGAGAGGGAAAAGCTATGGTTTAATATTAAAAAAAAATTCAATCCAAGCTCGATATTTAACAATGTTTTATTTTCCTTCCATTGATTCGATGTTAACTAAGGAAAACACATAAAAGAGTCTTTGAATTAAACTCCATGTTTCTATTGTTACAATCTCGTCTTCGATTTAACTGAGTTTTGGATAAAAGATAGAGGAAAGAAGGTTTTTAAACTGTTCCGAAAATCTGGGAAAGTTTTCATGTGGCCGGAAGCACTTTCGACCGAGCTTAAGGTTCCGAAATCGATGGTTCAAAAGTCGATGGCCGCAGGTGTAGCTGAGTCGATCCTTCTCGACGAGAGCAACAATATCTCAAAAGTCGGTTAGTAGGTCAACGACAGATGCAGTTGGTATATTCACTCGATGCACTTCCAGGACACGTTTCTACCATCCACCCTTTCTCCTATATAGATCATCAACTCTGACTCGCAACCGAGAAATTTTCTCATATTCTATTATATAATATCAAATCATATTTGATTTTCTTATTAATTTCCATAATAATCATCATTTTATTTCCATCTAGAGATAAAATGATATAAAGTAAACGACATAGTTATTGGACACTTAAAAACATTGATTGAGAAGTATGTTCTGTTATTCGATAGCATTTCAGTTAGTTTTGAACATTTTCACATTCCAATACAAATAAATAGTTACAAGACAATGCTATTATTTGATTTAACAATAATCCATCAACTAACATGTACAATCTACATACTATTGATGTATTTCAATACATCCGTATAAGCAGTTTTATACACCAACGAACAGTTTCCAAAATTTACGTATTTACTACAAAGAATTTACTACAAAAACATAGATTGAGAAGAATGTTCAGTTATTTGCTAACATTCCAGTTAGTATTGAGTATGTAATAAATTTACCAATATAAAAGAAATAGTTCAACAATTTTAAGGCAATGCCATTATCTAAATTCACTTTAATCCATCCAATATTTAGGGTGATTCACAATAAAGAGAATACCTGAATATCTCATTTGTTTACAATCGTATTAAAAAACTTCAAAGGCAAAAGTTGTACTATTGCCAAATGGAAATTTAACGATTGAACGTATTTTTTCTTAAAATCATATTTTTTACAAGATTTGAGAGTCAACTTGGTTTTTTTAAATGAAACTATACATTTTTTTTTGCAATATTCTATTAGAGGATGACAAAATGAATAAAAATGATTTGTATAACCATATCATTTCGATCATCTATTCTCGTGATATTTACATCTAAAGATAATTAAAACACATTAAGTCACACACTCGTATTTAAATGTAAACACTACTATAATTAGGCAATTTTAACCAATTACATAGGGTAATAGGTACTCAACATGGTGACTGTTTGCTTCAATAGATATTTGAAATCTTCTAACCAATTGTCTATGCACATTTTCTATTTCCCATGATGTTATCGATTAACAATGCAGCTTGTACTTTTTGTATCATATTCTCAGGTGTGGTTAGTTTTTTTATGATAAATTACATCTTTTAGTTTATCATATTTTCAATTGCAATTTTAATGACAAAACAAAATGAATTCGTAAATTTTAAAATAATTTAAATATTTAGAGAGACGAAAATGAAATACAATAAAATGAAAACAAAATATAGTGCAAACAAAGTTTCTTTCAAATCAAAATTTCAATTCTACTTCGGGAAACATTTTTCAAATTATATATCAAGAACATCTTCAAAAATTAATTCTACATAAAGATGTTTACATTGTTACAAAATTAATATTCCAAAAGAATTAATTTATTGGAGTTCAACTTGCGAAGTGCCATTATGTATTGTATGTTGCTTCACTCAATTATCATTCAACAAAAACGAATTAAATTTCTAATCATTTTTCTACGTAATTGATTTTGTTTCTTTTTTTCATATTCAAACTATTGTATATATTTACATTAAACAAGTAAATAAATATTGATAATAAAATTATTAATTTTATAAAAAATATAAAACAACTATTTGATTACAACTTAATTCAATATTATAAAAGCTACACATACTCCGTGTTTGCTACATCGTCTGCTTTTAGTGACACAATTTAGATATACGCTTTTCCAAGAGATCGCAACAGCTAACTGGTAACAATTAAAATGTTAATCAATAATTGAACACTTTTCCCGATTTATTGGAATACTTAATTTCATGTTACTATAGATATTAAATTACTTATTACGGTAAACATTAAAAGAAAAAGAGTTAATTAAAACTACTTTATAAAATCAAACGATACATTTACAATATAAGTAGAAAATATTTAAAAAAACTAAAATGCATTCCAATTTTTAATATAGAATCCGGATAATAAAGATAACGGAACCCGTCGATAGAGAGGTTGCATGTCCGCATTCATTTTTAGAATAATTCTAGAGCAGGTTTTTAACCTATGTTCCTTGGATTAACTGCCACTAGTGTTTCGAAAACTTGTTACAAGTGTTCCGTAAAGTTATGGAACCAACATACTAACTGGGAAACTACGCTTGAACGAGCATTAACGTAAATGCGCAGTGCCGTTTATAACACGGACAAGATGCAACTTGCATTTTCGAATAAACTAACTAAATCTAAGCAAACATCTCTGTTACAATACGTTCATTATGTTTGATTCGACAAAGAACATTTTTCATATTTATTTGGTTCGTGTGTTGGGTATAAATATTATAATTAATAATATCTTGTGAATTCATATTTTTTTGTATTTTAAATCAATTTTTTTTTAACACATTAACATCTGAAAATATAAAAATATGAATTTCGTTGATTGTCTACGAATTGCCGGAGACATATAAATAAGGTTTATGAACTATGCATTAAAGACCAACGATATATAAATATGTAATGTATACAGATTAATTCTGGAAAATAAGACGGCTTACCCCTTTTTTTTAAGTAAATATAGAACAAAACAGAGAAAATTTAGTGAATACATTTTAAGTAACAGCAATTTTAAAGATCTTCAAAATTATTTATGCCTCCAGAAATGTTATGTGGGCGCATGGTTCGCTCAATTGACGGAGAATTATGGATTATCGATAACAACGCAATAGGATACCGGTCGTTTGTTAAATACTAAATAAAAAAAGCAGTCTCGTCCTAAGTGGGTACTTAGATTACATATTAATAACTTTCAAGGAGGAAAATAATGATCATAGAACAAAAGAAATTAATGCACTTACGTACAACGTAACATATGTCAGCTCAGATTCTTAACATTAATCAGTATGGAAACCAACAAACGCGTAACATCGACTAATAACTATAAATAAAGAAATAATCATGATTATATCGCATATTATATTGGATACTGTTAAGATCTAATCCTGGATAAGTATTTAAAAAATACAAGATCAACTATTGCAGGAAAATTTATTTAAAGATATTTTATAAAATATGAAATTTCAAAAAATATATTATTATACTATAGATATTATACTATATAGAATTTTTATTAGTATTAAAATATTGTGAATCAAGAGAGTCTAATTCTTGCTTATAATTCTAAATAAAGATTTTATGACATTGTTTTTATGTACAATAACTAGGTAACTGTATTTAATATGGATCACCTGATTTTAATAACTTTCCGAACGAAATAATATTTTTTTAAATAAGATTTTATAAAGTAAAGTTATTTGATTAATAAATTGTTTACCTTATCCGTTAATATTCAATGATTTTTAAAATTTATACCATATTCTTGGTCGTAGAGAGTACTTAATTTATAGTATTTACTTGTTCTTTTTAGATTTTTATTTCTAGTAACAATCACATGTTGACTAGTCGATGTTTGATGTCAATAAAATACTGATTTTTTGTTCGATTACACCTCTGAAGAAATGTGGAAATGTGGTGAAGTAGAATCAGTTTCCCTGGAGAGATCGAAGTTCTCCTGGGTTCAGATCATAGTGTGCTTTGGCAGGGCGGATGAATGCTTGCGTCCTAAATATCGACTTTCCCGATGGTTCGTAGTTATCCAATTGGATTCGAAAAAAAGCGTAGCAATATAATTCGCCTTCCGACAAAATCTTTCTGACAGGCATTGAAATAATATTAAAAAAAAAAAACTATTTTAAATTGGTATATGTATATCGGTTTTGATCGGAACAGTTATGAAAATCGAAAAAAACGTTATAATTGGTATGCATGAGATAATTTAATTGCGGTTATAGAACTGATATTAGATTGGTTCAATATACAACTATGATTTTACTGCTTTATATCGGTTGTGATCTGATTAAATATAGAACTTACAATATCGATTCCAAAAAACTAAAAAAAATCACAGATTCATTATACTCATAACATTTATAACATTTTATCGGTTTTCATAGTCGTTTCAAAAACCGAAACCGATTTCATAACTGTATTCAAACCATGCTCTTCAAATAAAACGAAAAATAAGAGCCATATAAAAATATTTTCTTTTTCCTTTTACTATTTTCGATATAAATGTAGATTTTAATCAAATATTTTCCATAATTTTAAACAAAGCATACTTTTATTAGTAAAAATGTATTATTTCGTCACGAATACAATCGTAAAAAAGACAAGAGGAATGCTATCAGAATGTCATAATTGTTGTCTATCCATGCATTCCAAACAAAATAAAAAATAAAAAGCATAAAAAAAATGTATTTTTTTTTATCAATGAGTGCGTGTACACTTTAATCTTACATTTTAACACAATTTGAAACAGAATGAATTTTTATTAATAAAAAAACCAAACTAATTTTGTCTTCTCTCACAAATAAAATCGTAAAAAGGGCAAAAGAAAATCAATGAGAATTTTCATTTATATTGCAGCACTGAAGAAGTGATAAAGGAAAATCGATCAAGCTGGCGCCATTCAAGCTTCGTTTCTCAAAGATGTCTAAGTCGCGAAGTGGCGGCAGCAAGGGTAGCCGCAGTAACAGCACAGAATCAGAAGATCCCTGCCAGCAGCACTCGATTAATTCACCACACTTGCTGACATCGGATACACTTGGAACGAACGGCAACAATTTGGTCGTTAGAAGCGAATCGACGGTGCCGAGTTCGCCTCCGCCTTCTTATCAGCACGTTCTCGAAGAGGTCTCACATTTTATTTTCACAATATTTGTTACATCCACCTTTTTCGTTTCATTCTTAGCATCGAAACGATTGAATTTTTATAATTTTTTTTTCTACGTATATATAGGATAAGATTGCTTACGGATGTTTGGGAAGTACAACAAATACATGTTTGGGAATCGGAGGTAAAAGTGCTAAAAATTTAAAACTCATGAATATCTACGTTTTCAAACATATTATATGAATTAAATATGTTAATGTTACCGCTAAAGTGCAAAATCAGTTATTCTACAGATTATCTAGATAATTTGCAGATTAACTAGAGTGACCCATTAAAGTGCCGAAAATTGTTTCATTTCTCAAATTCTCTATGTAATCTGAAAATTACAGAAATTATCTGCACATTACCTACTAGGCACTCGTTAAACTGAAAATAAAATCATTGCTGAAACAACAGCAACGTTTACGTACGCTTAAATTACCATGTTACTTATTTATTTTTCGATATTTAAAGAATTAAGTTAAACTAATCAAACGATTATCAAATTAGTTGATTGAATCAATCATCAATTAAGGGTTAATCATCATCGTTAAAAGTTAATTTGTAAATCTAATATAAATTATAATAACTTGAATTACTGTTTAACCAATAAAAAAACAGATTTTAAACACTTCTTACGATATATAAAAAATTTCCATAAAATTAAATAATATAAATTTAATAATTTTCAGCTTCAATTTATAATGTTTAGATTTACTTTTTCAACGAGTGAACTGAATTTCTGTAACGTAATTAAAAAATATAAACAAAATACTTAAAATAAAAAATTATCTAAAGTAGCAATTTTTAAAATGAAGGTGTAAAGTATAACATTACAGATACGATATACTTTCATAATTTCATATTATTTCTTTTAATCATACGAGTTTATTTTTAATGCGTTTAAATGATAAAATACAATTTTATATAGAAAATGATTTTATTATTTGGGCAGTTATTTTGTTCATTCGATCATTCGAATATATGAAATTAATTAATTACGCTTTACTTGTCACACTAAAACGTATATGTTCGGTATTGTATGTGCGGTAGACCGCACATATTTCATCATAACATTGCAATGTTAGCTATGTGTCACTACTGGAATTTCGAAGTAAAAGAAAAAGTCATGTTTCTTTCTAACAAATGGTGAATCTCCTATCGGTAATTGAATATCTTTTTCATTCATTTGTATATAATTTATAATACGTTTTTGTATTAAACTTATTACAGTCATTTTTATTAGTTTTCCTATTAATATCATATATCATTACAAAATGACAATTCTTTATTAGATCACGCAATAACAATAATTTCATTCGAACATCGATATTGATTTATTTTTCAGTAGTTTATAACCAGTGATCGAGCAATAATACAGGATACATAATATAATATATTATTAATATCACACGTATCGTAATCTAATAAAAATACAATATTCTCGCGACATTACATGCGACAGAAATTTGTACGAAATTATATCTGACAGAAGAGAATACTATCATCAATTTTATCAAAAACCCTTTATAATAATTCATGAATATCTTGATTACAATTTATTTTCATATAATTTTCGTACATAATATTTAAATTAGGAAGAACATTTTCTAAAACAAAAAAAGTGCGAAACTAGTGTGTTATAAACATTTTAGTGACATAAAAAAGCCTTCTTTTGAAATTTCAGACGAGAATGGAGCAATCGGCTGATAATGAGGAAGAAGAAGAAATGGACGAAGTAGAAGAATATAAAGAAAAACATCAACAAGCATTAAAGAGGGATAAAAATGCCATTAGCGGTGAAGGTGGTGGTGGTGGTGGTAGTGGTTGCGGTCCAGGGGGTGGAGGGAGGCAGCCTGCCAAAGAAATTCTTCACAAATCAAGCAAAGAGTTTTATAGAGCGGTTGCCAAACAATGGGGAATTACTTGTAAAATGAGCGATCATTGCAGATGTCTTGATTGTCAGGTATGATATTTTATTATATGTATATTTATATAGTACATTTTATAATTATTGATGTATTATTTGAATTATTTTCTATTCATTATTTGACTATTTAGTACCAATTTTTTATATATATTTTACTTAATTTTTTATTATATTTATTGTTTCTTTATTTTATCGTTTTTTTTAAATTTTATTTCTATTTTATTATAATATATATCATCGAAATATATTAAAAATGTTCACATCGTGCCATGTTTATCAACACGATACTTCTAATTAATTATAGATTAAATTTAAAATATCAAATAAATTTTGAGAATTATTTATTTCGAATAGCACAAACAGGTAGAAAATAACAAAACAACTAACAAACTAACAATTTTTCGTGCTTATTGTTTTTGGCCTAAATTTCTTACCATGAGACTAACTTGTCGTTGTAGGAGAAGAAGTTAAGTAGAATTGTTGCTAAAAATAATAATTATGAATGAATAAACTAAACCGACGTTTTCTGCTGATCAATAAAGAATCTACAACTTATCTAATTTATATTTTCGTCACAAATTGTATTATATGTCGCAATTATACAACTCCCTTTATTTATTGTAAAAATAATTTCAACAAAATATGCATCCCATAATAAAAAATTCATGTTGGCGCGGCAGGAAAATAACGTGAAATGCGTGCGGCAATCAACGTGTTGAAAATCCCCAAGATTAAATTAATCTAATGAGAAACTTATTTTTCAGAGTCATTATTTCGACTGTGAATATGAAAAAGATGAACAAGAGAAGACCGACGGTGGACTTGGCGCAGGTACGCCGATGTTCATTTCTGGGGTGATTCACGGAACGGCCTGTGTTCTCTTGTAAGGAGAACGAACTTCCGCGAACTTAAAAAAAACAAACCATTTTTGCTTTATCGAAGCCGAATTTATTCGTGTTTGTGCGCACAAAAATAAAATAAAGGTTAGAAAGTTCGAGCAGTTACTTGTAATTGACTTAAGTGAGTCATGATAGGAATTTGGTGATTCTCGAGATTTATTGTTGAGACAGACAAAGATTGTTCAGATGAATAAGAAAAAAAGAAAGATTATGAAGTGCGCTCGATGATGCAATAAAAATCCGATTACGGGGGAATCTTCTACTTTCGGATTAACGAAAGTAGAATAAAATTAAATATCAAAATATCAACCTTTTAGATTTATCTTCTGCACGCCTAAGCAATCTGTAATTTTGTTACTTAAACTTTTCATTTCTTTCTTCCTCTTTCTCCCTCTTTCCCTCTCTCTCTCTCTCTCTCTCTCTCTCTCTCTCTCTCTCTCTCTCTCTCTCTCTCTCTCTCTCTCTCTCTATCCATCTCTCTCCTTTATCTATGCATTTATCTATCTGTCTATCTATTTACCTATCTATCTTTCTTAATCAAGAGAAAAGATAACGTATGTACGTTCGAGAATATTCACTAACTTTAATGCAAGTATGGTGATCTATAGACGAACAATAATACTGGTCAATTTTGTGCTCGTGGCTTTATTCATATACACTATTCTCAAGAATAAGCACGAAAGACTCGGTAACGTGCAATGTGTATATTTAATGGAGACATAATTTAAATCCTATAACCCGAGATAATATTAAATAAATTTTAATCACGGGTTAAAGAAAAATTCATTTGTTCATGAGCTTTCCATTTTGATTGTATGAGGTTGTATCGTTCTAGGAAACTCGTACAGTCTATCAAGTCTATTAATTTTGTTTTCCTTCAAAACACTGATTACTGCAACTAGTTTTTATAGTGCAAATAAAACCCTCATATTACACGGCATGTTTACAATGCGCTTGAAAATTGAGAAAGCATCCGTACAATGCGGATTCGCTCTCTAAAATGATTGGAAAATTTTGAAATTTGTTCATGTAACACAAGATGTAATTAGAATTTTTTAATTCAAGGACTATTTCATTTGATATTTTTCATTCAAGCTTGCGCATTGTGTTTAAATATGTATTTCAATTTCAGAATTTCAATTTTATTTTGTTTGTAGATTATTAAACATATTTTACTAGATTTTTGTGGGAACGCAAAATAATACGTTTCTTTCATACCGTCGTTTGATTGCGGGACACTGATAAATATGGAATTTTATAAAGCATTGTTTCGTATAACATAGGATTTTTTAGGAAACTAACAACCGTGTTATACGAGAGTCACTAGTAATTCGTACGAAGAAATAGTTTTGTGGAAAAATCTGGAAAAAAATGGGCCTACATACTTTTGCGAAAACATAGAAATTGTATCTTTTTCATTAAAGCTACGAATTATAAAATAACGTTCTCTAGTTTTTTTCTGCGAGATTAGAAGAGCAAGAGGAAAATACTAGGAAGTAGATAAAGATACATACTTACCAACTAGGAAAACAAAATAAAAAACAAAGAAAGGAAAACCCCCTCCCCCTCCCCCAAAAAAAGAACTGAAATCCAGCGACTTCCCAAAAATGTAACGTCTGATGGAACATCGCGACTCGAAAAACATGAAAGTAATCTAGCTATTATCAGACGTTCGTCACTTTCACATGACAACGGTATTTTGGCGTTGCGGTCGTCTGTCATGTGAAAAGTGACAAATGAAATATATATATATGCATATAAACCGAAATGAGCTGCAATCTAATGAGAATCGTATGAAATTAACTGACGACCGATAAGGGCTAGTAATGTAATAACGAAGGATCTGAATCATCGAGTTTTTGTTCGGTGGGATTTGTGTTCCACGATTCGTTACATAAGCTACACTAATCCGTGACAAGCACATTGTTAAATTAAAGTTTGCGCTCGAAGAATTTGACCAAAAATGATCGCATTTAAACTTCCAAAAATTCGTTTTCACTTATGTTTGAATAAACCTTATGTTTATTCAATTTTTATTCGATATTCGTAAACCCTCTATAGTTCCGAGCGAAATTGTGAAATCATATACAGAAATATTTGCTGATAATTGTAACAAAGAATTCAATGAGAAAATCAGGCAAATTATTTTTATCGTACATTTCATATTACAATTATTTATAATATCAAATTCATCGTAAAATAAATTTATTTAATTTTTTTAACTTTTAATCGATTATCATAACGACTGTGCGTGTGTGTGTGTGTGTAACATATATCGATATTTTTTATTTGTTCAGTTAAATTTCTTTCCCCAATATGGCGAAAACGTTAACTTTAAATTGAAATATTGAAGTAAATTTTTGATCATTTTTAATTCTTTCTAAAATTTCTATATACAGGTTGATATTTATTTGTTTAAGATTATGTAAATTTGTTATGATCAGAAAAAAAGTTTCAACTATAACAAATAAATTCTGACCATTAGAATCATTTTTTGAGAAAAAAATGTTTGTTGTCTATTTACGCTAATACTTTATAAATTGTTATATTATAAATATAATTATATTAATTTTAAACTTATAATTAAATCTGATCGTTCAAGGTCTTTACTACGAGTAAATTAAGGGGTTTGGTTGTAGTCAGAGGCATGAAAAAATGAGTATATTTAATAATTCTTTTCAGAGACAGTAATTTAAATTATTTTATAAAGTTAATAGTACACAGTTATTATATAATGTTTCAACTTGACTTCACTAAATTAAAACAAAAAAAAATAATTTTGAACGAAGTTATTGCCATTTTTGTTGGACCCCTCTCACAAGCAATGCTTTTCGGTGACCATCATAACTCTGTACTGGGTTATCAAAAATCAATCAAACAAAGGTTAATTTTTAGTTTAATAGTAAATGTAGTACTTAATCGAAGTTTTTCTCTTTTCGAAAATTAACAAAATAGCGGCTTCTAAAAGTTTATCCCAAATTTTCAAGGAAAAAATCGATAGTTTACTGTTATAAAAAAATCGAAGTTTTCAACAAAAATAAAAATCCTTTGATCAATGATTACCCCTAACCCCTTAAATCTGCTTTTAGGTAGATTTGACGTAAGATTGTAATATTTCTTAAAAATCAAAAAAACTTAAAATTCTTACGTTAGCTCTACTAAGAAAAAATTAATTTAAATAATGATATAACTATAGCGAATTGTAGTCACGAACAAAGAGAATTGTCGAGAGAAGCACATATATATAGTTCGATTTTCTGATTCCTAACGAATCGATTGAGGATCGATGAATTCAAATGAAACATAATACAGTACCTGCCTATTCCAGAAAAAGTCGTACACATTGAATGCATTTATCAAAACGAAGCTTTAAAAAACAAGTTCGCGGCGTTGATCAATAGATACTGCACAACTAATGCATTTATTGTATTATAAAAATATGTATCATAAAAATATATAAAACTAAACTATAAAATAACATACATCAGGTAGAAAAAAAAGGGTTTTATATTTTAAAGGCTTACAGTACTCACCGAGATGAGTAAACAATGTCTAATTAACATGAATCTTACAATCTATTTAAACAATCTTACAATCAGTAAGTACTAAAAGCCCGGAAAATATAATACCCTTTTTTTATCAACCTATATATACAGAGGCCGCCAAAAATATGTATACACATTAAAGGAAAAGACAGATTTGTAAAAAAAAATATTCTAATATTAAATTTTATTCAAATATCACGAGAATAATAAAAGTTACCTTAAGCTTCTACAATTATACAAGATACTCAAAGTGATGATCATTAGCTTCCAGACATTCGTATAATATGTACGATGATCTATTGCTTGAGTAATGTTGGCCAAAGTGTTCATTGGCATGGATAACATAGATGGACACATTTTCAATTTCTTCTCTAAAGGGCCGCCAGTGTAATCGGTTCCCTGCGATATACATTCTTTAGGGTTTCTTATAGGTGCATATGTTAAATAAAGATGATATGTTAGCAACCAAACTGCACCTTTTCGTCCTAGCCAGTGTGCTTGCAAATTTTTACTCACAATCAGATAAGATAGCACACGTTAGTAGTAATGTGATTGTAATAATAGATATTGCATATTATTTATTGTGTTTCATTTCACTGTTGTACACGTCATTTCCCAATGCTATTACCATGTATAAAGTTTTGATACATTTTTTTTGTTGGACTCTGTATATATTTTCGATTAACGATCTAATATGCTAGAAATTATTAGAAATTCAATTTATTTTTCATTATTAGATGTACGATTAATCTTGAATATGTTTTATTGATTATCTCTGAAAATAATTCCTAATAAATTATTAAAAAAGACTACTGAATAAAATAGATTTTAAATAAAATGACAAATAAAATTATATAAAAATATAAAACCCTGTGCAGATTCCGCGACTGTGAATTGTAAAGCTTCGTATTGTGTTGAATGAATTGAAAGTGTGCGTCTATGCTGGCCTATTAACTTATATTCGTCTTTTCACAAAAAGATCGTTTATTTGTACCTCGCGCCGAAGGAAATAAGGGATATAAATATATATGTCACATATATATATATATATAAATCTATTACATATGTAATACATATATATATATGACATATGTAACCCCCTATTGCCAAAAAACAAATTTTTTCTATAACCAATATTATAACTTTCCCATTTGTAATTATTAGGAAGAACACGACCACCTTATACGACTTTATCTTGCACAATATTTCGTTGGAAATATCTTTTGAGCTTATGTATGTGTGTTAATGTGTGTATGATAAAACAAACAAGGAATAAAGAATAGGCACAACCGACGTAGTTCATTTTAATCGCTCTCATACTAGTTTCAATATTTCCGCACAATTTTTATTTACTTTAATGTCATTTTATCTTATATGCAATTTTTATCTGTGTTTTTTTTAAATCTTTAAGATACTTACTATTTTGAATTGAAAAATTAATTTCCATCGAAAATTATTCATACATTTTTGAAAGGTATAATTTAATTTTGCGTATAAATTTCATATCTCAATCTGTTGAACTATTTAAATTGAATATAAAACAACTGACGTATATTTTTGTTTAAACGTCCGCACGTATGCGCTCGCACACATATGCATGAATCCGCATGCATACACATATTATATATAAGCTCTGATCAAAAACTTAAATATACATGAAGATCTTGTTTTACGTTTTTATCTTTATAACATCTTTGATTACTTTCACAGAAAACATTGATAAAATGTATAAATATATTCAATCTTCTAACAAAGTTTTAATTACGTTTATTGTATAAGTAACTTTTATGAATTTTCTATTTTAAAAAATACTAACATTTGGAAACCGAAAGTCGGATTAATCCGAAATTTAAAATAGATCTTTTTGTGACTATTTCTTTATTAGTTT